CTTGGTCATTGGTTGACCTTCCAGGGCGGTGTTTCACGGTCGCGCTGCCAGCCGCTGCCAGCGCATTCCGCGAGCTAAGGTCAACCTTCGGTAGTGTTGTAGGTATAGGCTAGTTGATGTCTCCATGGAAACCAAAAGTGCCAACAGCGCTGGCAGCGTGCCGTGAAACACCGCCCAGGTCAGGTCACAGACCCAAAAGACGGGAAAATCAGGGCCTGTCAGAACCTCCTAAAGTAAGGCTGTAATATATTTTTTTTTGTGCTGATCACGAATTTCATGTTAGTTTGGATCATAGATGATGTCTTCATGCCTTTAGGCCATGTCGGGGCAGGCCAGGTCAGGTCAACCAGGTCAACCAGTACTTATGGGCGTCCGTGTAGCAGGTGTCCGACTACCACTGGCAGCTACGTAACATGATACGAAGGCATCAAAACTACTTCGTAAATGTTCAAATGGTTGCTAAATGCTAAATTCAAAATCAGCTAAACGAAACTATCCTAGAAACATGTTAAACTCGGAAAAGTGCACCGAGGTCATCAAAGGTCAATGACCTGACTTGACCCTAAGGTGACATTGACACCTACCACAATGGTTGGGACCAACATCATTTCACATGTTTGAGCGTTTTAAACCACGAAAAGACTGTAAACGAGCGGATAATGTGAGCCGACATACGCGGAATCGCGATTCCGGCCAAACATGGCCTCAAACATGGCCAAACATATGGTGCGTTCGGAGAGGCACATTCCACGTGGAATCCGTGGAATACTCCATGCGCGCGGAACATTCCCGGAGATTGGCCGTTCAGAGAGTTACGCCTCCGAACGCGGCACGGGGAATATTCCAGGGGACGGTGAATATTCCATGCTCTCCGAACGCACGGATAGTCTCGAGAAATAGGCCACAGGTCAAAGGTCACTTGGGTCAGGGTCATGAAATTTTCAGACTTTGTCAACATGAGGGTGCTAAAGTTTCGTCGCGATCGGATTCATGATAACTTACACGATAACTTCACGCGTCGATCGAGAGGTAAAGTATGCAATAAGAACTTCTTGGGTGAAGACGAGACCAACACTCAAGCTCACATATTTTTAATGATACGGTAGTTTCTACCTACTACGCTACTTTCTCACATTCATATTTCTTAAGTGTTTTTGGGGGCCAAAATACATGTTGCCCCCTTTCAGGCTTGGGGGCATGACCCCGTGGCCCCCCTGGATCCGCTAGGCCGAAACTAACTAGGCCGTTTTCAAACGGTCTGATATTTCAGGTCATGGTTTGCAAACGGCCGGTGTTTTCAGGCTGTTTCATATGCCCTGACTGGCAGGGCTGCGGAGTCGATGGATTTTCGGCGACTCCGACTCCGACTCCGACTCCGGCTTTCAAAAACCAGCTCCGACTCCGACTCCGACTCCGGGCAGAATTGTCGACTCCGACCGACTCCAACTCCCGACTCCGACTCCGCAGACCTAGCAGGGCTGCGGAGTCGAAAGATTTTCGGTGACTCCGACTCCGACTCCGGCTCGGGTTTCTAAAATCGACTCCGACTCCGACTCCGACTCCGGTCACAACTGTCGACTCCGACCGACTCCGACTCCGACTCCGACTCCGACTCCGCAGCCCTGCCAGGCCAGGCCGTTTGCAAACGGACAATTTTCGTACGGCCTGTAACATATATTCATATTTCACCATCTGTCGCAGCATCAAATGCTGATGTGGTGCACTCAAAAGCCGGAATTGGTCCTTGGATGCCGTAAGGACCCTTTTAAGAAATAAGTGACCCGACTGACCCCTTAGAGATTGGCCTGAGCTCTGACCGAAATAAGTCTTTTACCGTTTCACGGGAAGGGACAAAAAGGTCCCTGATATGCTTCTTGTACAATTACCAAACAAAACAAGCTTTTCAACGCCAACTCAGTGAGTGTTCCTAAAAAAATTATTGCGCATATTCCGTGAATGAAAAATTGCCGGGTCATGTCAGGTCAGGCTGCCAGAGCAAGTTTGTTAACTTGACAGTTCAATCGATATGTATGCAATAAGACCTTCTCGGGTGACGACAAGACATGACGACACTTTATGAAGGAAGCTAGTAAACCCGGTGGTTTCTCCATAGGCGCGGGAACCCGGGCAGTGGGGACAGCTTGCCCACCCCCCAACTATGGGGCCGTGGGGGCGGTGCCCCTACAACTTTCAGACGGAATACCCCATTTTTTGCAAATGTTTTCTTTTTTTGTTGAAAAAAGCCAAGGGATGAAAAATAAGTGGCCTAAAACCACCGGTGAGAAAACTATATTTGGGGAGACCCTAGGTTGATCTCTATTATGGTGTGCCCCCCCCCCCCCAGTCTGAAAGTAGTTCTCGCACCCCTGAGTTTCTCTACGCTATTGAATCACGCCGGTGATTCTAACTTTTAGGTATCTACTACGCAACCTTCTCACATTAATTTTTCTTCAAGCGTTTTGGGAGGGGGGCCAAAAGATACGAGTATGTTGGCCCCCCTTTCAGGCTTTTGGGGGGCCATGGCCCCGGTGGCCCCCTCCCTGAATCCACCAGTGGGGGGCGGTGCCACCACAACTTTCAGACGGAATACCGCCCTTTTTGCAAATGTTTTCTTTTTTTGTTGAAAAAGCCAAGAGATGAAAAATAAGTGGCCTAAAACCGGTGAGAAACTAGATTTGGGGGGACCCTAGGTTGATCTCTATTATGGTGTGCCCCCCCCCCCCCAGTCTGAAAGTAGTTCCCGCACCCCTGACTTTCTCTACGCTATTGAATCACGCTGCTGATTCTAGTAGGTATCTACTACGCAACCATCTCACATTAATTTTTCTTCAAGCGTTTTGGGGGGGGGCCAAAAGATATGTTGGCCCCCCCTTTCAGGCTTTTGGGGGGGGCCATGGCCCCGGTGGCCCCCCTGGATCCGCCAGTGAGGCGCTCACATTGATAATTTTCCCGTTTCCGTTAGGTATAACGAAAACTATACCTTTAGGTATATAATATACTTATTGAAGACCTCGCTTCGCCCGCTCGCAATTACTTTTAAGTGTAAAAGGACGCATAGTTTCGGAGTCGTGATAGCGTTGATCCGACACCGCTCCAACTCCTGGATTTTCTTAACTCGACTCACTCGACTCGACTTCGACTCAGGGTCGATCATCAATGCACTTGCACTGTCATCATGTCAGGGCAAATCCATGTAATCGAGGACACACCTGATAGCTAGCTGAATCTCAGAAAGATGAGCAACGACCAGTGGCGGATCCAGGGGGGGGGGGCAAAATGGGCATTGCCCCCCCCAAACGGCATAATTTTAACATTACGCCTATGGATGAGGCATGGAAAGAATCGATACATTGTTATGGTTTGCCCCCCCCCCCAAAAAAAAACTGAGCTGGATCCGCCTCTGGCAACAACGGCGATGCAGCCGATGTTGTTTTGGTAGCAGTTTATCTCTCCACGCTGTCTGCTCCTGTGACCTGTGTCTCTACAGCACGCTAGCACGATGGGAGATGTGAGTGTCACGCCGATCCGAGTGGCCGTATATCGTGTAGTATCGTGGAGACAAGATCGTAACTGACCAATGACCTCAGAATGTCCATTGTTCATCCACAGACTTGCAGAGGCGGATCCAGCTCAGAGGTTTGGGGGGGGGGGCAAACCATAAAAATTTATCGATTCTTTCCATGCATCGTCCATAGGCGTAATGTTAAAATCATGCCGTTTGGGGGGGGGGGGGCAAATGCCCATTTTGCCCCCCCCCCTGGATCCGCCACTGCAGACTTGACCTTTTCAACTATAACATACAGCATTGGCCGAAGCTACTATTTTATTTTTTATTTTTTAGAAATCCCATTTGCTTTGCAAAACAGTTTGAAAGTTGGGAAAACGCCGGTTAACATCAACACCCAGCAGAGTGTAGAAAATGCACTCCCTCCCATACCAACAAAGTTCAAACTCTCAAATGTGTTTGTGTAACACCCCTCGTTCCGATACGCCTTCAAGCTGATAAACCGCCACCTAGCGGTCGTCGAGTCAAGGTCTAGTGTAGGTGGCGCAGCCGTCGGAAAATCGACACGGGCATCCGTCGACTGATACCTGGGTGAAAACCCGTAATGCGAGGGGTATCTTGAAGAAATGCACGCTAAGTCACAGTTGGCTTCCAGAAACGGTACTTACGACGAGCAGAAGGTAAAGAAAGCGTAACTAAGAGTTCTAACGGTCCTCACCATAGCAATAAGCACTACTAAGCAGACAAGTCGGCTAAACTGCGCCTGTTTACCCAGCTAGCTCTTACTCTTAGGGAGGTGAAACTGTAGCATATGGGTACCGACCATCACCTGCCGCTCCCAGTTCCCACTAACGCTCAGCAGGACGGGGCGCTAGCGGCATCTTTACCGAACTGTGACATTGACTGACTGAGTGTCCCAACAGCCCAGTCCCGGAAGGACTCCTGGGGGCTCGTCGATATTGATTATTGACGTGAGGTCATCATCGCGAGAGGCGCGGAGGTAACAGTCGAGTTCGATTGGAATGGCTAATCACCGAGACGACTCCATGCTGCTCCTGTCATACCTAGCATCACTCCATTGTGTATCAGAGCCCAGCGAGGGATGTTCGGAGCCACTGCGCCGCGCTGCCCGGTCGCAGAGCCTCCATGCCGGCCAAAGACAACCGTCCGTCCACCAAACGAGGCTTCTCCCTTATATCTAGCATTAGCAGCGGGCATCCCCCCCCCCCCCAACGCATGTGTTCAATTTAAATGCGGGGTTCTCTGTATGACGCAGAACCCAAGTGTCCAACCTAGAGTGCATGGGACACTAAAACGTTAATTCTTCAGAACCCTAGGTGCGAGATCCGACCCGATTGACGATCTCTTGCCAACCCAATCAGCCAACCATGCAAGGGCGTCGCCTGTGAGTACCTGACCCCGCCCCTTGACCTGTTCCCTCTGCTCCGTCCCCCTCGGTATCCGTCCGGCGCTCTCCACGACAAAGCACGGCGGCGTCGCGTCGCTTGTTTGTATTGTTTGACCACCGCGCTACGCTGTCAACACACAGCAGCCGCCCACCTTCTTGATCTTCTCCTCGGCCAGACGGGAGAAGAACTTGGCCTTGACGATGACCGGCTGCTTGGGCAGCAGGCCCTTACCCAGCACCTTGTAGTAGCCGGCCTTGACGACGTCAATGACGGGCGCCTTCTCCTGGTGCTTGGCGAAGTGGTCGCGCGTGTCCTCAGAGACCAGAGACCACACCTTGTCCAGGTTGATGGCCGGCCGGAACTTGCGGTTCTTGTGCACGTGGAAGTCACGCATGCCAACCTGACACACAGGACACGGATGTTAGTGGCAGCAGCGGCGGTGGCCTTGTGACATTGCTAGGTCCGTCTTCCTACATCCAACAAACTGAAACGAATCGATCGCTAAGCCGTATCTTGAAACAAAATTATTTAGCTTATGTCACGAATCGTAGCAATTTGGGGGTGGGGTGGCATGGAGGTGACTTTTAATTGAAAATACCCACAGTAATAAATCTTAAGAAGTTCTCCATGAAGTTCGCCTTTTACTCTCTTGAGCAGTATTGTATGTTATAAAGTTGAAAAACACGGGAGGTAATACGATACAATGTCCCAAAATTACATTTTTGCTCGGGTGTCAGAGGGGAAACTGCTGACAAAAAATTGGATGAGAGTGAAACATTATGGGCCAGGTAAGGCCCAAAAAGAGTGGGAAAGGATAAAAAACATGACTGTATCTACAATTGTGGCAGATAGTAGAACGCAAAACAACCATCAAATCTGGTCTTTCACAGTGGAATTGGCAGTGGAAAATTGGGCTTGAAAACTGGAGGTGAGAGAAGAAAACGACCTTCATTTGGATGTCGTTTCCCACCCAAATCGACACATTTTGGGACATTGATACGATAAAAAAGAGACATCCTCCAATAATCTTTGCAATGTATGATATATGGTTTACCCATTTAATAGTAAATACTGTGAGCATATAAGGGTTGCTTCCCAACTATCTTCGCAAGTTCCTGCAGCAGTAGGTACTGAGCTCTCTTCAGTTGCTGTTATTATAGGAAATAGTTCACTTTTAACATTGGGTTTTGAACTGGAATAGCAGTTCCGTAGCTTGAGCTGAGACAAGTACAAATCAGGAGCTTTTACGGCCCAACGGTCACCCTAGGCAAAGATATTCCATTTTTCGTCCCCAAAAAGGTGCCTTGTTGATGTGTGCCTGGCAGGGGTCATGTCCCTCTTTTAAAACTGAAGAGTTCTTCCTACAGAAAGGTTTTATTAAATAATAAATGCATTGCAAAAAACTAATTTCGTGAAAGTGAACTATTCCCTTTAATCACCATGCTGTCGGTTTTCCCATATAAGGAACTTAATTACTAGCGTTTCTTGGCCTCTCCTTGGTCAAAGGCATAAACCACGTGAATCTGACCAATGAGGAGCCTGGAGCCAAGAAATAGTAGCAGGCTCGCCGCCCAATGATAAAAAACTGCGACCGAACAACGCCCAGGGTCTTCCTTAAAAATACGGGTTTAAGTAAAATTACATTTCCTTTATGACATTTAAGCCACACATAACTAGAATAAAGCTGCACACCTCAGATTACTCGACCTTTTTAATATTCATCTCGTACAGAAGAACGTGTTTCACATTGGCTCATAAGATAGCCCAGAAATTAATCTGAGAAGCATGCCAGAGCGGCAAAGACGCAATAAGTCCGCCTGGCAGCTGCCGCGGTCGACCCACCTTTCCGAAGTAGCCGGGATGGTACTTGTCGAAGTTGATGCGGTGGTGGTGCTGGCCACCGGCGTTACCGCGACCTCCCGGGTGCTTCCTGTGCTTGCCTGTAAACCAACAAACATACCGTTATGATGTGATGAAGTGTCGTTTTTTCCAATAACATACGTTAGTGCACAACCGGAGATCGCAAGTCATAAATGCTTTACTCGAAATAAATCCAGTGTTTCAATATGAGCAAAAATGGGCATACCGACCTCAAAATGTATCAATAGGCTTGGATGTGAAGGGAAATTATAGACGTCGTATCCCCAATAACTTAAATGACCAGCATCCCAACGTTGTATTTTGGTTTGGATGTCAGAGGGGAAATTACTCTCCAAAAAGGGGGACGAGAGAGGCATACATTTCTATACAAGTGTGATGAAAAGTAGGATGCAAAACCACCCACAAACATGTTTTTTCTCAGTAATATTTGGAGTGGGAATTGCTCTTAAAATTGAAGTTGAGAACCCTAAATGGTTTTCATTTGGATGTTGTTTCCCACCCAAATCAACAAGATTTGTGAAACTACAATCCCAGACAAGGCGAGAGAATTTTTTCAACAGGAATAGCATATAATATGTTTAGGATATTCATCTCATATCCGAGTGTGAACATAAGCCGAAGCAGAGACAACTTCCTTTTGTACAGATCAGCCTCCACGTTACTGTCCCTGCTACAGCTTTGGTTCACGCCATGCTGGACTAGTGGTGCATACTGAATGGGCTGAATAAGCCTAGCATGAGGTGTAGGGCCCTAAACCAACAAATAGAAGTAACTAGCATGACACACAATATTACTGGAAAACTACACCAGACACAAATAATAAACTTACCAATGCGGCCATGGCCATGGCTCACTTGGCCACGAAGCTTCCTGGTCTTCTTCTTGTTGGTTGACTGAAAAAAGCACAGATTGATAAGTAGGCATCAAGAGGATAGGTATGTAAAAGCTTTATCAGCCTTGCCCAGGTTTATGCCTAAATCAGTTGGGAAATAATTAAAATGAATAGCAATGGAATGAACACAACACCCATCACTCACAAATTGTAGTCAATTAAACATACTTCATGCTAAGATCTAGCCAATATAGTTATGCAACAGGGTGGAAAGTAATAACATGAAAATGTATTTTCTTACAATGTCAGCAGTCAGTGGAGATTTTGTATGAGTGCGGGCTGTCATGGAATATCATTGGTCGTGTTTGTTGTTGCTTTATCTATCACAAGTGACCTGACTTTGAATGATGACCTGGAAAGTCTTTAAAAGGTCTCGACTTTGAATAATGCAGATGACATACAGTACACAAGACCAAAATGGGCAAAGAGCCCCATTTGGAGTTGCCACAGAAAGTGTTTGTGATGATTTTGGCTGGACTGGAGTGGAAGGAATTGACAACAGTCTCAGCTTGCCATGTTGAAGACATAGCCCTAAAAGTGTGATCTTTTATCGGCCCTTAGACAGCAAGGCGCCACTTCTCTGACTAGTGAATGGCATTAACAGAGAGAATTTATCAAATATTATCATACCTACACTAGTAAAAATAAAGTCAAAATGTTTCTAAAGTGAAGAACTCAGCCCTAACAAGTAACACAAACTAAATATTGATCCTATTTTGCCACCAGCCTAAAAAAAGATCCCCCAATCACCTGATGAGCAAAATATAGGTAATGATTCTGCTACTCAGGCAGAAATATTTTTCTTACAATTGAATTTTGTAATTATTCATTAAACAAAAGGTGTGTTTCAGAAAAATAAGCTGATTTTATATTGAGATGTATGTATAAAAATTATTCATTATGGTAAGTTTATTTGCAGTCTTGTTGATTTATATATCCCCATAGTTACGAGTCATATTTCAGTATGTTCTACAGGACACTAAGCATTATTTCAGGCAGGCCAAGTGGTTTTCATGAGAGGGGTACCAAAAATGGCATCCTTTTTAGATCCTTTATACAGGACCCTATGGGAGGAAGTGCTGTCACAGGATCATAAAATAGTACTTTAATGTTTACTTATTTCCCTGGTAAGTCACCAACTGAACAAGCAGGGCGCATTGAAAAACTGGGCCCCATTAGATAAAAAATGGAAGCAAAACACAGGACAAAGATGAGCCTAAATGAATTTGAACGTGGTTGGATCAGCCCAGCAGAGCAGAGCAGCAGGGGTTGGAGTTGTTATATAGTCTTGGAGCAGCCATGGGAACAGACTTTTGACCCAAGCAGTGTTCATGGGCACCACAAACTGCTGAGTGCGGTGTGTGCAGTGTGCAGCAGGCCTGGGGGTAGGGGATGGGTAGGCGGTTCTAACGTCACAGCTGCGTGCGGTGGACGGTCCAGTGTCCACTGTGGCTGGTCCTGACCGACCGCAGTTGGGCGCACTGTGGTAATTCCGGTCCATTTATAGAAACGTTGCTATACTTGGAAACGTTTCCAAATATAGAAACGCTGCGTTCCATAAATGGAAACGCTCAGAAGCACCGATCATTCCGGACAATTTATTTTAAAGCAAGATGCGTTATGTAACTTTCTAGATGGTGGAATGCCATCTAGTAGCAACAAGGAAGCACTCAGGTGAAAATGACACGTCAATTTCGCCAAAACTTTAAACATCTATTTAGCCCAAATTAGCCAATATTCTACCAAAAATCAGCCCAAATCAGGTTCTGGACGTCATATTTGAAGGGAAACCTTAATGGAAGTTTTTCTCTTATTCACAATTTCTTCTACATTTTACAGAAACCAGAAATCCAATCGTCATCATTACCATGGCCCACCATGGATTTCTTTGGGCCTCCTTGCGATTATTAACTCAAATGTTGGCTTGTCACTGGTGGTAACCGTTTTGTGCGAAATTTCGCCAGAGCTTACGAAGATCGTCAAACAGGTGAGCGTGCACCTACCATTTCCAAATATAGAAACGCAGCGTTTCCATATTTGGAACAAGCGTTGGTATTTATATACATAAGGTCCGATCGCCAAAGTGAGTATAACAAACATACCACACGATGTATTTTGGCCTCCTGATTTCATATCTGATAGTAAATCATGGCGCAACCAACTTTTAAAGCACCTGTAAAATATTTACCGTCACCACCGGCCACTACCGCACTCCACCAGCCGTTGTTTGCACCACGTGGAAAGGATCGAATGAATAAACTCCGAGGTTGAGTGAAAACATTACGCTATTCGATTTTGTTACGAAAGTGACGTCATAATAATACTCGTGGCGGAGCAGTGCAGTGCCGAAGGCGATGCCTTAGGAGAGATTACAGGCAAGAGTAAATCAAATATTTTTAGGTTAAGTGGTTATGTATCTGGCTTCAGGCCGAAGGCCTGAAGCCTGATGCATGACCACTTAACCTAAAAATATTTGATTTACTGTTGCCTGCAATCTATTCCTGCAAGTAACTTTTTCCTTATCCCCGGTAGGCAAAAATCAGTAGGTTAGGTTAGGTTAGGTTAGGTTAGGTTAGGTTAGGTTAGGTTAGGTTAGTTTATGATTTTTACCATTTTTTCGTCTTTTGTTATTTTGACGTCACTTTCATTGATTATCGTATTTGATTCCCTCCTCACCCATAAACCCCGGTTCCCAACATTTCCCCGAAAATGGCAGCAAAAAAACTTCATATGGCAGCGCTGAAACGGCGGCGTTTTTCCCTCGTCGCATTCATTCGCGTCGTCGGTGCGTGTGCACGTGGGTATGTATCGTGTTATGAAGGGGTGTAACAGGTTGTTATTTTTGTGTTTTTTGATTTTTCCGCCGCACGTAAGTATGATATCTGGATTCAGAATGTCAAATAATGTAAGAATATGCAAAATTTATGCTTGATCAGTCAATCGGACCTTATGTAAATATTTACCCAAGCGTTTCTATATGTGGAACATCGTTTCCAAATATAGAAACGTTTCTATATACGGAACGGAATTACCACAGTGTGCCCGACTGACCGCAGCGGCCGCTGAGTGCGGTGATGGAAGGATGACATAGGGACACAGTGGGCGATGCTTAAAGCCTGTACAGTCCAGCTGCACATCGAGCCCGTAAACAGCCCTCTGGACTTCAGCTAGCTTCCACCCAGGCAAATAAAACGCAGCAAATACGATTCCGACGCTAATGAAACAATCAACGAGCAATTCAGTCTGTGATCAGTACCTATTAAAATTGCGAAACAAAGCAGAAAACGATACCCTCTGCAAATTCTATTAAAACCGATCGAAGAAAACAGCAACATAAGTTGAATTTTACATGAAAATTCTACAAACACACGTGAACTCACCATTGTAAGCCACGGATGTTTTCGAAAGGAAACAGCGTTGCCTTTTAGAAAATAATTAGTCTGATTGCTAGGCCAAAATCAAAATGTTTTATCTTGCTCGGCTTACGTCTTCTAAATGGATTGTAAATAAGATATTTGCAAAGAAATTACTGCTTAAAATCTTAAGTGAAAATGAATGAAAAAAATTGAAGACAAAGGGTATGTCCGGGTATGTCCTAGAAAGTCATTTGAGGCACTAAAACTCAGTTAAAAGCCTAATATTAGCTGGCAGCTCCTATTTCATTAAAAACAAAAACAAAAAAACAACAAAAAATAGAGATCGACTGACGATAACGGATAATCATTTTCAGGTATTTTTAGGAGGCCGCCCTTCATTAGCGTCGCCACGGGGGGGGGGGGGGCAAGCGGGGCAGCTTGCCTCCCTAACCTCGGACCGGGCACCCCCTGAGATCGATACAGATCCGATGAGATTTTGGAGTTGGGAAAAAATGGGGGTACCTTTCTGAGAATGCCTGTGAGGTCAGACTCGGTTGGAGCGTGCGCCGTACAGTTCAAACCAGACTCGGAGTCGCAATCGCCAAAATCTCCGACTCCGACTCCAGACCCGGAAATATCAATGCTGTGATTCATTCAATGTTCCTACTGTGGACGTCAAACCGCGAGGGACGCGACTTTTTCGCAATAACTTTTGAATACGTTGCCTCTCAAGAACGAAATTTCGGCAATGGACATTTCAGACCCCGGCCTAATTTTCATTATAAAGGTTTTTTAATGTCAAATAAATATTTAGGGTACTTCCCGTTCACTCGTAATGCTAAGTGAAATATCATCCCGGATGGCGGCTATCGTCAGGCTGCTCGCGAAGCCCCGCCTACTAACTACGAATTCCCTGCCATCTACCGTTCAGACACGCCTGCCATCTGTCGGTCGATACTCACTCAGAACCGGTTCTGCATGCTGTGTGCGTCGGGTCTCAGATGGGCGGGCATCTCGAAACCGAGATTGTTCAGTATGGCCTTTTACCAGGTTTTTTAATCCGAGAAAAAAACCGAGATTGTTCAGTACGGCCCTTTACCAAATTAACTATACGAATTATTGACTTAGCAGCAGGGATGCAGAGCCTTGAACATTTGAGTCAGCTCCAGCTCCGGCTCCGGCTCCGAGTAAAATGGCAATACGGCTCCGGCTCCGGCTCCCACTCAGGGCAAAATATGACGGCTCCGGCGGATCCGGCTCCCCTCCGGCTATGCGTACCGGTGCATTACGGAAACATTTAACCCGCGCACCGACGGGGGTCTGCGCCAACTTAGTACCGACGGGGGGGGGGGGGGCGGATGACCGCCCCCCCTGAGATCTCGAGAACGAAGCAAGATAGCGACAAGCGGTAAACGGCATCGGATACGCACGGTCAAGATCTACAATTTTTACTAAGGTCATTTTCAGGTCAGGTCAAAGATGACGTCACAGGGGTCGAAAAAGTCAAAATGGCGGCGCTGAATATGGAGAGAGTTTTTCTCGAATAACTTTCGAATTAGTCAAGATAGGAACAAACTAAGGGCATCATCGTGATCCTCTCGTCAATCCGCATCGAATGATATATATGTTGACCTCGAAAGGTCAAGGTCAAAGGTTGACCTCAGGTCACGTGACCTCGAGGTCATCATGTATATCATTCGATGCGTCTTGACGAGCTGAACACAATGAGACCATCCACGCGTCTGTATCTTGTTCCTGTACGGAGTTATTGGCCAAAAACCTTTGGTGACCTTTGATGACGTCACATGACCTCACAGCTGCCCATCAGCAAAACAGACCTCAAGGTAGTGAAGGTTGATCGTATATGAAGTCATGTATGGTATATGGGGCCATTCCTACCCGTTTTAGTGGTAAAAACAGGGAGTTGATTTTTCCCCCATTGACTTATAATGGGGAGGTCGCGAAATTGACCTGACCTTAGGTCACCGATATCAAAATTCCGAGATATACAAATTGTAGTTACTAATGACCTAATAACATCCTGCGACTTTCAAAGGCCTCCGACATCTACTGTAGCTCTGGCACGGTGACAAAGTTGCAAAAAAGTGACTTGAGGTTGGGTCATTCAAAGTGACCTGGTGACCTGACCTTGAAAGGTAGGAGGTTCAAACTTGCACACCATGTGTAAAATTGATAAGGGAATAGTCATACCAAATTTCGCGGCGCTACGCGCCGCGGTTTTCCCGCTATTCGCGAAAAACCTCAGGGGGGGCGGATATCCGCCCCCCCGTCGGTGCGCGGGTTAAGTTGGGGCATATTGGGGCTTGGCAGGATAACACGAAGTGTACTAACGTTCCTGGCGGTTTGATATCTACAAGAACCTAAAATTAAAATGTTAATTAAAAAAATTAACTTGACTGTGTAAATATATTATATTATTATGTATCTCATTTACGTAATTACGTTGACAAACTTATTAAATAATCATGTAATTATTTTCTGTTATTCTTAAATCGTCGTAATATTTGGCGTACGCGTATAGTCTTCCTATCTGGGTGACATTCTTAGCGAGTCGAAGAAAATATATCATTGGCTTCCTTCACGGTTAAATACCGACAAGAGGCGCATTGCAAATACATTCTTGCAGCCCTTAGGGCAAGCATGAATAACGTACGCCATGCGGCTGGGTGTGTTGGCAGGAAGCACCGCGTACCAACCCCTACGGACCGCGACTGACCGGTCTCGGGTCAGGTAGCGCCTCAGGCAACGGCCATCCGAGGCGGAGCTTAGCTCCAACGTCACACTATGGCTCCGCCCCTTGTGGAGTAGCCTCTGCTCACCGAGAGAGTTTCAGGAGCAAAATTTAACATTACGAGTGAACGGGAAGTGCCCTAAATATTGATCGGACATTGAAAAACCTTAGTAATAAAAATTAGGCCGGGGTCTGAAACGTCCATTGCCGAAGTTTCGTTCTTGAGAGGCAACGCATTCAAAAGTTATTGCGAAAAAGTCGCGTCCCACGCGGTTTGACGTCCACAGTAGTTGGTTCTGTATTACATTTTATAGCTGATTTTCATAACTTTGGAGTGTTTACGCCTAATTTTCGGTCATAGCGACACGAAATCTTCGGGGCCTTTCTCAACTCTCGTCAAATGTCTGCGACAGACTCAAGATAGGTACCGTTCAAGTGCCGCATGGCTCATGAGCTTGCTTTTCACACAGGCTCCTAAGGAGCTCGACTGAGCTCTAAGAAGCTTTCCGAGGACCAAAACCGGCCTCTGAGAGTCCCACTGGTGTCCATGTTCTCTGGGGGCCCATACAGGGATCTTTGAGGACCTCATAGGTAAGTACATACGTAGACTTCTGAAGGGCCACACGAATCTTAGAGGATGCCTTCGAAAATTTCTGGGAACCTTAACTGGCCTCTGATAGTTCAGTCGAACTTCTGAGGCGAAAGACTTTGCTAACCCCAAGCCGGCATCTAAGGGGTCACAACTCGCGTTTCCCTCTGAGGGCCGCGACACATGTTTCTTAGGTATGTCCCAACGTAGGGTCCTTAGGGATCCGACACAGACCCCGAGGGCTTACAGGAAGGACACTGTTATCTGAGGGCTGTTCATTACACTGTTATCTGAGGGCTCCAGGCTCACCCTGGGCCTGGTCGCTTAGCCCGCGCCCGGTAGGGAGGGGGGGGGCCGAAACAGCCCCCTGTCCTTTTCCGTCGATATCTCCTAAACGACTAGATATCGCCACCAAACTTTCAGGACCCCTCCGGGCATCAATTTTACACATTGTGTTAAAAAAAAATCTAGAGGCTATGATAGGTTGGCCACAAATGACGTCAGAATGACGTCATGTTCTGCCATTTTCGACCGAAAAAAGACCTTCGCGAGAAGAGCTGTCAGGCCTACAGCTTTGCAGATACATAAAAATGATCAAGACATAAAAGGTGTAGAATTGACAGTGCTACAAAAAAGCTATCTCGGATTTTCGAAATTTTTGAGTAACTCCCTTAAGTCAAAAAGCTTTTTTGGATATATCAGCCGAAAGATCAAAAAAGTTTTTGAGATAAAAAACCGGAATATTTGTGATATTGCCTACCGTCTTCTATCTACATTCTACATACCAAATTTCAGATCGATATCTCGTTTTTTGGCCAAGTTATAGCGAAAAAAATGTTCAAAAATGATTGCCTCAAATTTTCAATTTCAATGTTTGGCAATTCTAGAGCACGTAAGGCAAAACAAAGACCGCCATTAGACTCCCCGTGACGAGCTGCATCGAATCGATACCCATTTTATGCAAAATATCAACTTTGAAATTTGACCAAATTTGACCTGACCTTGACCTGACCTTCACCAAAACGTGACCTAAGCTGACCCCAAAGGCTGCCTGACCCACATATCGCATTTGTCATGTAAAATGGACCATAAAACATGTATCACACGACATGGTGACCCCCAGTGACCTGACCTCTGTGACCTGACCTGGTATCAGTGACCTCAGATAGCAAAGTAGGTATGTGTTTGACGAACAATTTACCATCGTTGGTTTTCAATAACTTACCAATCCCGGCAGGCAGTGGGCCTCCCAGCCACCTTCCGCGCGGTGGAGGGTTGGGCGGGCATTTTTTGCCCCCCCCCCCGTATCTCCGAAACTACTGGACGGATCCGGAAAATTCAAACGGTGTTCGATAGCCCTGTCAATTTTTTTTAATAAACCAAATTTAATTGATCTGGGGGTCGCTGATGACGTCACAGGTCAGGTCAAATATAAAATGTTTGACCGTTCACGGGTCTTCTAGGGAATGCGCTATAACACCGAGTAAAACGCATTTTGTCGAAAATCAGCGATAGGGTGTCAGTTGCCTAATACATGTTGCTATTAGAGGTCACTGATAATGCCAGATCAGGTCACAGGTCAGATCACCAAGGCCAAGGGTCAGCACATGAACCCAACTTTACTAAGGTTGTTCGATGGGTTCGATGCATGTTTTATCGCCAATTTTTCATTTCCAACTCAATGGTGTTGGTTATAAGACCATGGTTATAAGTTTAGGTCACTTTCTGGTGCAGGTCAGGTCAAGATCAGGTCAAAAAGGTCAAATTTCAAAGTTGATAGTTTTGCATAAAATGGATATTGATTCGATGCAACTCGTCGCGGGGAGTCTAATTGTGTTCTTTGTTTTGCGCTACGAGGTCTAGATTTAGA